AGAGAGAGAGAGAGAGAGAGAGAGAGAGAGAGAGAGAGAGAGAGAGAGATTATTGTGACTATATGGGAACACATTCAACTTGAGGGGTTAATTTCAATGTGTATATATTTTGTTATTTGCTTCATTTGTTCATTGTACCTTTGTACTGTATGCTGGATATACCAGATGAATTCTAAATGTATACGGTTGCAATTTACTTTCATGACAAGCAACGATAATTTATGCAGAAAGAAATAAGAATTTACACAAGTTACAGAAAAAGGAAATAAATGGTTATTTTTCTATATCGTCTTGTGACATTTATTTGTTATTAAAGGTGTTAAATATTAATATAAAGTGTTTGAGTATTTTCACGTTTTCATAACAGCTCGAGTCATGTGACGACGCTGTGCACCAATGATAATACCAAACAGCAGCTATTGACATCACGTGCTATATGTTTCCATGAGGTCAACTTTATAAAAGTCATACCACAAACGTGTTTGTATTTCATAACAAATCCATAGAAATATAAACATTCATATCTGTAAAAGTAAATACTAAGAATTTAAGACATTTTACAATCCAGACATTTTTTATTTCAATATCAATACATTTTGTGTTTAAAACAGCGAATGTGCACCCAATCTCGCACTTCAAATATAACTGTTTATTTGTAGCCATAGACCTACAATTATATCTTATCAGTCTGATTGTCAATTGTAATATAAATATTAACTGATAACACATAGACCTAGACGTAGAATGCATGTCACCCATTTGATATCAATTAAGATATAAATATACATTACATACATAGACCTGGCTGTTATATCACATCCATCTGATTATCAATTTTCGAAACAGTTATGTATTATGATAGATAAGCTACACAATGAGTGGTTATTGTTGTCCTGTACAGCTGTATACACGTACCGAGACAACCTTCCGAACAAAGCACTGTAGTATGCTTACGTAACCACGCCATGGTCAGTTAATAGTGATTTCTAGTCCACTACAAGGTTTTCTGAGTGGTTTAATGAAAATGTGTAACTGTTTATTTCACAGATAAAATAGCATCGTCGCGAATGAGTAAAATGTCATAAAATTTAGGTACAGGTAATTGCCGGTCTTGAAACTATTAAATGACATAATATGTTGAAACCAAATTCAAGTTCTGTTTAAATATATTATACAAATATTTTCTTTGTTTATGGTTTTACGACCTCGCACAGCTTAGGTGATATGAAGATGATACATGTACTCGTATCTACTGATGAGGCCGCGTTTAATTGTCATCTCACTTAAATATCACAACCTGGACACGCCATCATTATCTTATAATATTATAATAATTTTGGTACGGTTTACTTTGAAACTAGTTTAAAAAAAAAACATTGTTGTAATCAGAAGTTGTAACGTTAGTTAGGGTTTCATATTAACCTTTCAAATTTCGATGTATTTTTATAGATATTTCGGAACACTTCTGAGACGTTTTTTCATTTTTCTGAACTTTAGTATCACTGATTTGTCCAAAATGGACGAAATGGTCACTTGGCTTTCTGATTCGAATTACTCGATGTTAAATAGACGCTTCCTTGTTTATTTCTAGTGCTGACTTATTGTCACAACCTAGACATGATGACATTATTCCTAATATAATACGTTTGTATAACAATGGATTATCGCTATCTAGACATGCCCAAGGAGGTAACACCGAACGTTATGTAAAAAACCAGCACATAACAACAAAATAACGATTTAGTACATAATACATATGTATATACAACAGTTATATTATTTTAAAACACTATCAAAATCATCTAAATATGTTTTCAACGATCTTCCGATGATCCTGGGGTATATATGTTTCGTTCATTGTCACATTAGAAAATATGTGCGTACAGTATAACACCCTTTCAATGTTTGATCGATATCTTCATCAAGGAGGAGCCTTGGTTTGGTAAACTGGACGGCTGGTTGGACTCTTGTAGAATTGGTGTACTCCCTCGAAGTGTGCCTGTCAACAAAATACGCACTGTTAAGTAAAACCTGTAAGATCATTGTCCTATAATAGATGTCTAAGGAGCTTAATGCGAATTTTCAATCGACAATTAAGTTGATCACAATTAAAACTATATACACATCAATAACTTTAAACCCTGTTTTAATGTCAAATATTTAGGTAATCGTTCTTTGACACACAGAACTACATTCAGTAGCGCAGGACGATTTGACTTAAGCATAAGAACGATTAAAATGTAACTACTTACCAAGTGAACCAACAACTCACGTCTGACCGCAGTATCCACGGACCACAACACCCAAGGGGTCAATTACATCGCACAGAGGGTCCACATTTCTGTACACCTGTAACATTGGAGATGTTACACATTCTAGTATAAGAAGAGACTACTACTCTGTAGTATCAACAACTATAATGACAGTTTTTTCATTGTTTCATTCATGGAAATTTATTTTCTGTATTAAAAGGTACAAATACATAATTAAATGTCCTGTGTTTGATTGATAATTAAATTGCTGCATTGTATGCTGCTAATATTAATGTTAACGTTATTTACAACCTTTTATAAATCACGTGATACAGATAGTCGGATGACTCCATACATACATGAACTAGGATTCCCCATATTCAAATCCATCGCTCTGCCATGTCCTTGGAAAGTGTTATATTGACTGACGTTTCGTCATGAGGCACGCTGTACAAATAAAAACCCTCCATATTTGGAAACGAAAAAAATACTATTACCATTTTTTCGATTAAATACGTATAATTATTTTTTGTAGAAATGATCAAACTATATGTATCCTTATACTTTTTTTTACAGTCCAGCATACTGAATTGGAAGTACCTGTTATAACTAAACTCCGAGTTGAAGACTCCCATTGTAGAACCGTATACCAATACTTCTTAGATTTTGTACAACGTCGCCTCTTTAATATCTTGCTCATTTGTACCAGGTATTTGTTATATATACACGAATGCGTTATGCGTTTGCTTGACATTAAAAGTGTACCTTACCTTGTTACTGCAAGTCCATGGAACTCCTTATAGTTGTATTCAGAGTGAAAACACCCATTTCCTCAGCATCCCGTTTATCCTAAATCTTATGGGAATCCATTCACGTGTAGGTACATGTAAGTGTGGTATTTGACTAAATCATATCGAGCTATACTAGTGTCATTCTATACTAGAAATATTTATGTAATATACCTAAGTAAATAAAAATCACAGTGACACATTTCATATAACTGGTTTTGTACACTTCTAGTATCCTATATAATATTGCACTAGAATTCATTACAACAGACAATTAACACATGAATGCAATAGATGCTCGTTTTATATAAATCACTGATAGTGATACATCGTGGAATTACAAAAGATTGATATATTTATATTATATATTAACATATTTTTTATTGAAATATTGCTGTGCATCTACACATGAACACGTGTCATCAGTGATCGGATCCTAAATACTTGCCTGTAATGAAATCTATTATAGTCATGCATACAAAGTTATGTACATGTAAATCATTGTTAAAACATAAAACAAATGATCAAGTCATCACAAAAGAAAAAAACCAGGAAATAGTTGTCACAATAGAGAATCTAAACATGAACTAGTAAATATACCATTAACATGCTTGAATCAGTAGTCCATATAAATATGAACAAGTTACATTAAAATATTAATTAATATGAACTAGCTGCTACAGTAGAAAATATACATATAAACAAGTTGATAGAAAAGAAGGGTTGTTACTTATGATCCTGATAAAGTGATGATAGTAAAGTCTGGTTTTCCCTATAATGCTCTGCGGCTCCCTGAACAGTCGTTATAAAAACAACTCCAGTCAATTGTACAGTAACACGCCTCAATTATGCCTCTTTCATCGTTTGGGCGCCATTTCGATATCGCCGCCGATGCGTCTCAGAGACCAATGAAATACCGACATGTAAATGAAATACATGTATGTATATGCTGTATAAATGCAGACACGTGACCTGTGTTACCCCGTATGTTAATGATGAAATGGATGAACCTGTCGGTAATCACGCTTACGCTTATATATATGAATAAAGCAAAAGACCAGTGGAATACTTTACTTACATTCTCTACGAATCTCTTGTTCTAGCATTTGGAAAAAAAACATTGCGTATTCTGAAGCGGAAACTTAATGTTTAGACTATTTTAGTCTAACGAGTAGTGTCTTTCCTCGACTTCTTTATCAGCTTACATGATTAAAACACCAAGATGGCGTCTCAAAATTGCGGATCTCACTAGGGATGTTGTGTAGTAGTAGCTCGAGTGGTTTCTATATACAGCCATTTAGATTGACGAAAAGTATCAAGGGAAAAAACCATCACGCAACTTAATGTCACTTCATTAATATTCATAACACCAAGAATCACTTCATGTCATCATTACTTACAGGTTAACTTTTTGAATAACATGTATACTCTCATTGCCTGAGATGAAAGTGCTAATTACACGTTGTTGAGATTTTTTCTTTGTATAGTGTGTATATATATATGTAAATAAAGATAGCTATAAAACAAAATTATCATTATCTGCTTTAAATATAAGTATGGTCAAAGGTCATGAGTGATAGAAACAGAAAAAAATACGTATCTTTTAAGTCCTCAGGAACTAGGTATATAAACTAATCAAGAGTATAAATCGTATTTACCTTCCTGGTCAGGTGTCATAGGAAAGATCATACAGTTTGACCACAATAAATGTTACATATATATGTGTTAAACATGATACATTTTAGTATATTAGTATAATTATACATGCATTAAAGTGCATAACATGTTGTACATGACTTAAAACATTTTATAAATGAATGAATGACAATATTTATCAATATACAATAAAGACAAAATCAGTTTTATGGCATTAAATCAATATTGCAATTACATTCTTTAAAGGATAGCAGTGAACTATGACTGCTACCCTTTAAAGAATGTAATACAAAATACAAAAATATACCGAATTTCAATATCAAACGCCGCTTAATGGGTTTCACATCACAGTCAAACGCAAAACAATAAAACATGAAATTGAAAAATCCAATAAAATCACATATGTCGAAATGCAAAACAGTTACCATTAAAACGTTTCTGTACAAAAAATAAAAGGTTTATAAACAAAAGAATTCGTACATACATCAAACAATGAACATGTCAATTAAAATACATACCTCCTTTTCGATAATGAGCAATGCCATATCTCCTGCCGAGACCTGGGCCGTATGGTGATGTCTCATTTCGGTCCATACTAAGTTTTACAATATTTCTGTTAATATATCAAAGGAGTATCAATTGTTTTACGTGCCAATGGAGCAAGCATTTTTATCATAACATAATTTAAGAAAAAAGTATTTATTTCGATTTCTTTTTAAATTGCAATTTTGATACTGTGACCTTGTCATATAGGGATTGGCTCTTTAAAGTTGGTCTTAACGAAACATATTAAATCATTTATGTTCGAAAATACTTTATAGTAACAGCCTGGTTCTACAAATACTTGTATAACTTACAGTAATCCCCAATCGTTGCAGTAGAAGTAACCATCAAGAAGAAGGAAGTCAAAGCAGTGAGCTAGCCCTGAGGAATATATCTCAGTTCTTCCAGTACCGTTCCTGTATATTCGCTCTATCTTGTCTAAGCTGGCATCACACCAATACAAGATGTCTCCTTTAAATAACAAGTCAACAATGTTTAAGGTAACATCCATCAGAAATTATTTACATTTGCGCTGCTATGTCATATATATGCGAACACGACTAAAAAATTGAAAAACAATACGGAATTAACGCTTGACACTCATTTGGAATTTTTGGGTAAGAAGTTGACTAGTCCACCAAAGCAATGATTAAAGTTACCATACTCTATGATTTTAAAAATTACAATGAATCTTGTCTTCAGCCATGCCACAGGTCAATACCGTTAAGTAAGGACAAAGCTCTCACTAGCTCACTGTCCGGCACTTCCGTTTAACGCTTTGTTTAAAATGATTTAATTTGTTTTTCATTTTATGTAACAATTTCATTTTCCTTGAATGCAGTTGGCGTTAATAATGCCTCTGAACCGCATCTTGTAGCAGTTTAATTCTTAAATCAACGGTTATTGAAACTCGCAACAACCTGTGCATGCTGTGAACTTGTCTCCTTACAACTTTATACCGAATTTGATGATATGATAATAGTAATTCTACAATTTTAAGTCTATGTTTGCTTTTTCGTATCGTAGGAGATAAGGGTTTACGAGTGAAACTAGAACATACGTAGTCCGAAATAACTCTCATTTTAAACTAGATCATACGTAGTTTGCAAATCTCATTTAAAATACTACATCATTGGGCAGAGATACATCATTAGTTTTAAAGGAGGAAATCTTTTATTTCGGACTAGAGTATAGGTTGGTTATAGATGTAAGAAATCTAGAGCATTAGATACAAATTAATTTGAAAAATAATTGTTATACCATCCAATATTAGACTGTTCGGCCAGATAAGTCCAGTGTTGACAATGACTTCTCTGTCAGAACCGTCATATTTTGCTCGTTCAATAGTTGCGTTTGCTCCCCAGTCTGTCCAGAAGATCTCCCTATTGTTTAGTGAGATATAATATATTTTATATAAGATACGGTGTTTTAGTTATCATGATACGAAAACAAGGATTTAAACACCAATCTTTAACAAAATTAAAACGTAAACAGTCAATGAAGGAACTGACAATGACAACATGCACGGTAACAGTACAGAAACACCTATTAACACCAGAACTGTAAACTGAAGACAATTATAGTTAGAATAAGAAGATTTTACTTTAAAAAATATCACGGTATCAAACCCAGTGTCTTTGTTTAGGAATCAGATATCGTTAAGAAAATCATAAATCACAAAAGTTTTACCACGTCCCTCAAATATTAAAAAAAATAATTATTGTATCTTGCATGTTTAGAAAATGTGAGTATAACGTTAAGCAGATGAATGCATGTACATATAGCTAGCAAAAATAAAAAGACGTTTTACCTGGTATAGGGGTCGAAGACTATCTTTCGTGGTTCCTCCAGAGAGGAACTAACAAGAACAGTTCGTATAAACGTGTCGGCGTTTATCACACCGATTTCGTCATAACCCGTATCTGTGTAGAATATCAGTCGGGACCAGCTATCAACAGCTAAACCGTCCATCACGGAATCTGTGTGGTAAACGATTGTAAGCATGCCATAAGAAAACAAATGTATCCTTCACTTAGAAATATAACGAATTCCTCCTAAACACACACACACACATAGATAAAACTAACTTTGATAATGATCATTATATTCAAAGTAAAACAGAAAAACATAATTTTTCGTTGAAAATTTAATTGCGCTGATTTTGAAACAAAACCACAACAAAACTGTATTTAAATGTGTAGTACTATTAAGCTCTGTGAGCACATTTATTATAATGTATGTATTTAGTTCCATTTTAAGCTACAATGCATTTAGATTATAATGAAATGAAATATGCTATATATTAAAGTTGAATTACCACTTCCGGATTGAAATATAATGGTTTTCTGTCCTCCATTCAGGTTGCATTTTGCTATCTGTTTCAAATTAACATCCGTCCAAATTACGGATTGCTCGATAGGATCATAATCGATGGCGATAATTTTCCGTGTACTGTCTGTTTGGATTAGTGTAAGGCTCTCGTATGAGCGATCCAGTCGTGCAATGCTTGTCCCAAAGGATAGAAGGAAGAAATCGTCTGGTATTGGATCTAAACAAAAATTTGCAGATAAGTATATTTCTAACACAAGAGATCTGTAAAAAAACTGCCAAACTGTAACTATAAGTATTGATCTTTTTAATGAGTGTTTTCTCCTCTTTTTGTTTTCTTTATTGTTTTCAAAAAGGTATGAAAATTATTCCTGTGAATTATAATCACACACACTACAGCAGCGGTCTTACCATGTGGTATTATCTGATGTAAATTTTCGAAATATTGACACGGTTATATAGGTTTGCAGTGTATATGTGGCCACTTTTATTTAATTATACCCTTTGAATGTCACTATATGCATTTGAAAAAAATGATCTCGTGAAAACTTAAATGTAAAAACTACTGATTGGATGTTTCATGCCATGTCTCTTTACATAACAGGAATCCCATTCTTTTAAAATTTAGTGACCAGTAACGATTGTAATATGCAGCAAAACACATACAAATTCAAGATAAGAATATAATTAAAGCTTGTCATGAATTACATACACATGTACATGTTATTTGAGTAAGTTGCATGGTACATGTACGTGTATCGTTACTTTAGTTAGTTGTATCGTACATGTACGAGTGTTGTTAATCTAGTTAGTTGTATGGTACATGTACGAGTTTTGTTAATCTAGTTAGTTGTATGATACATGTACGAGTGTTGTTAATCTAGTTAGTTGTATGGTACATGTACGACTGTTTTTGTATGTTTTAGGTACGATTGTTGTTACAATAGGAAGCTGTTTATTTTTCAAAGTAAAATTTAAATCTTTACCGCGACGAATGGTCTGGATCTTTTTTGAAATATCAAACCTGCATTACAATACTTCTTTAAGAACATTTAACCTACTGTTTGAACAAATCACACCAGACGCCCCCTGATTTGCACATTCCGTGACGTTTACTTCTACAACTGGACAGCTCCGAAGCGAGGTCTCGTTTCCAACACAGTCAAATTGGTAAGACCACATTTCTTCTGTAAAGAAGGTTGTGATGTTCAATACAGCTGCGACGCCGTCGCTAAAGTAAAATAGAGAAAAAAATGTCTTGTATAATAACAGAAAATATCTCGGCTCTAGAACAGGCTCTGAAACCAAGACTCAACGGTTACATGTACGCAATGGTAAATGTACAACCCAGAGATGAGGGCGTTGTGCCCTTTGTTTAAATAAATATCACTTATTGAATAAACACCAGCCGCCACGATTCACCAGTCACGCACACTTTGTGAGGTATCGAAATGAATTTATTGCCCCGCCTGACTACAGCATAACACGACTGTTCCTTCCCGGAAATAGCCGAGATGTTAGATTTCATTTCACTCAGAATAAAATATAAAACCTGAATTAGTGTCAGGGTACCATTTCATTAGTTTGTATTGCGATGAATATTTCTCTTTCTGAGTTATTGTTTTTCGAATGGCAGTGTATAAGTTTCGAGTTCGATCCCTTTAACTTTTGTTATTTATTTTGTGTTTTTGCTTTAGAACAATTCTATTTGTAGAAAAATCATTGCAAGTAAAATTGATATGGAACACTTTTGTAGAAAAGGACATTTTTCATGATAGCATACATGCAAAGATTTATCTTTATCGTCACCTTTGGATTCCAATTGAAATAAGGCACATCCAAAGCATTTATTTAGTCTTTGATTTTTGTGTGCATGTTTTAAATGTAATTTATCATTGAAACATTGAACACTTTTATCTTATTTTCATCTTCCTGATCAGATTGAATTGTTAAATTACGAATAGAAACATAACTATGTTATAAATTTCGAATGGTGATATGTTATAAAATGCATGATATTAGTATTCTTTGGAAATAATAACTCAAGAAATTGACATGCTCAATAAGAGTGTTTGAAAAGAGAAATGTGCTTCAGATACCCCTCTCCCCCACTAACACAGCCCACCGCACCCTTCCCAACTGTTTCATATAGTCTTGGAGCACATTATTTACATTTGGTTATTGAAGTGTAAAAATATTCATTATAAAAACGATATTTTGAAACGTTCATTAAAATACGGAAACGATCTTCAACGCATACACGTGTTTAACAGAAGGTCCACGAGTTGAAAAATGGGTTACGACTCTGACTGTATGAGGGCTACATTAACGAACGGGAGAACGAAAGTATTGTTGACGCGAAACAGTCCTGTGTACCGAAAAGGAGACAAAAATTCAGAAACCACCAAAGTATCGGATACATGAACACTAGTACTGCTGACATTAACATAAGCTTCGGCTCAGGTAAACGTCGAAAGAAATGTATATGATGTGTAATATTGTCATCCCTTTATTTTTGCTTAATTATTTCACATGAATAATAATAGCTGCATATGGAAAACTGTAAAAATTGCCGCATCTGTCCAATCACCATGGGCACAGAATAACTGTTTTGGTATAAATGAACGGAACTCGTAAAAGTTTGAACTCTAACTCAGGGAAACATTCTCGGTGAGGTATCAGCTATGTACATTCTACCCTGCAACATTAACATGGGAGACAACTCTTGCGCATAACTATGAAACTTTTCTAATCGTTGGTTTCGCCGTAGCGAAATGTCTTACAAACATTGTATACTCGTAACCTTTCTGTAAAAAAAACTAGTGTCACTTCAACGTCCTGTTCTCGTGTATCATCTGTAAGGGGAGGGGTGTATTCTGAATTCTTTATCATTTACATTTTTGTTTCTTTCGCAGCTAAGGAGGACATGAAGTGAACAGAGTATGATTTGATTTGATTTGATTCTATTAAAACGGCATGCGAGTAAAAGAAGTATTTAAACTACATGATTGTGACATTGAAAACAATGAACAAATGAAACTTACTATTATTTCAATCAAAATATAAACAAATGAATTCCTTTCTATTGTTTTGGGTTTCTTTTTAACCTTATTTTCAATTTTTATGCAAAGTGGCTGCGTTGTATCTCAAATCTTCCTTCTTCGTAAGGTAAGCTGTATCAAACCCGTATTATCTCTAGCCTCTAACACATAGACACTCTCCCTGGCATCTAAGACCAGTTCCTTCTTCTGGCCAAAAAGCCACACCCTCCTCCCTAGTTCTGTCTCGCTCTGCCCCGCTCTGCCTTTTGGTACCGTACTGGGTCGTATTTATCTCCAATGACCACGTAACCCCATGTTCCAATTTAGCTTAGGTGTGCATCTCTGTTGTGGTCAACACCAAACATGTCAGTCAATTTGTAGCTATTTCTAATTACCGGTTTGTGCAAGATGTAGGCAGTTTTGTTTCTGTATCCAACATCCACGTAACACCATACACTAATATTAACTGAGAGATGGATTTCTGTTAAATACATTTCGAACCCATTATTCGGGGGGGGGGGGGGGGGGGGGGGGGTGTGTGTGTGTCACTGTCCGTTAAATGAACAGTAAATTACTTAGATAACAACTCCTACACCTACACAGCACCTTCACTATACTCCCCTGCTGGTAAGCCTACCTCTGCTATACTCCCCTGCTGGCAAGCCTACCTCTGCTATACTCCCCTCCTGGCAAGCCTACCTCTGCTATACTCCCCTGCTGGTAAGCCTACCTCTGCTATACTCCCCTGCTGGCAAGCCTACCTCTGCTATACTCCCCTGATGGTAAGCCTACCTCTGCTATACTCCTCTGCTGGTAAGCCTACCTCTGCTATACTCCCCTGCTGGCAAGCCTACCTCTGCTATACTCCTCTGCTGGTAAGCCTACCTCTGCTATACTCCCCTGCTGGCAAGCCTACCTCTGCTATACTCCCCTGCTGGTAAGCCTACCTCTGCTATACTCCCCTGCTGGCAAGCCTACCTCTGCTATACTCCCCTGCTGGCAAGCCTACCTCTGCTATACTCCCCTGCTGGTAAGCCTACCTCTGCTATACTCCCCTGCTGGCAAGCCTACCTCTGCTATACTCCCCTGATGGTAAGCCTACCTCTGCTATACTCCTCTGCTGGTAAGCCTACCTCTGCTATACTCCCCTGCTGGCAAGCCTACCTCTGCTATACTCCCCTGCTGGTAAGCCTACCTCTGCTATACTCCCCTGCTGGCAAGCCTACCTCTGCTATACTCCCCTGATGGTAAGCCTACCTCTGCTATACTCCTCTGCTGGTAAGCCTACCTCTGCTATACTCCCCTGCTGGCAAGCCTACCTCTGCTATACTCCCCTGCTGGTAAGCCTACCGTGCTACATTCGTCCCCATATCATATCAACATGTTTTATTTAATCGTGGAAGAGCTCACTTTGTCACAGGTGTGCAGTCCGTTACGTCATCTATTTATTAAGGCCTTTGTAGATATGAAAGGCCCATTGTGTTAATAATGTCCAGTTTTGGGCATGAAACAAAACGTTTTTGTTTATTAAGCACAGTTCTTTCTTAAATAAGTAAATAATGTAAATAATTATAAAACACACTTCGGCCACGGCATGAAGATAAAGGGATATCGTGAAAGATAATGTACGTTACAAACAATAGAGCAATGGTTTCAAAACAGAAGCAAGGCTTCAATGGTACCACTGAGGAGCGGGAATATCAAGATTTTAATCGAATGAAGGTATTTGATAACAAGAGGCCCAGAGGGCCTGTATCGCTCACCTGAATATGTTTAAAATAATTGGTATGAAGTAAAGATATAGCACTCGATGGTAGGTGCTGTAAGTACATATGAAATTTCAGAAAGATCCACTGCTTATACAAAATTGGGTCCCCTTGGCCAAAGGATGCTCCAGACTAAATTAAGATAAAATCCTTTAATCCCTATGGTAGAAGAAGGATTTTAAAGGTTTTACATCTATGTCCCCTATTGGGCGCCGCCTCTCTGCCTCCAGGGGGCTTAGACACACCGTTTATTCAAAATTGGTTCCCCTTCACCCAATGATGCTTCATACAAATTTGGACAAAATCCTGTCATTCGTACAGAAGAAGGTATTTGAAGAATTTGGTATGTTTTCCCTATTGGGCCCCTCCTTTCTGCCCCCAGGGAGGGGGGGGGGGGCACACTCGCTGTTTATACGAAATTGGGTTCCTTTTGCCCAAGGATGCTCCAGACTAAATTAGGATAAAATCCCTTAATCAATAAGGTAGAAGAAGGATTATAAAGGTTTTACTTCTGTTTCCCCTATTGGGCCCCGCCCTCAGGTCCCAGGGGGGCCAAAACCCACCGTTTATACAAAATTGGTTTCCCCTTACCCAAGGATGCTCCAAACCAAATATGGACCAAATTCTTTCATTCCTACAGAAGAAGAAGGATTTTAAAGAATACTTTGCTTTGTTTCCCCTATTGGGCCCCACCCCTCATGCCCCTGTGGGGCTAGATCCACGGTTTATACAAAATTGGTTCCCCTTCACCCAAGGATGCTTCAGACCAAATATGGAATAAATCCTTTCATTCCTACAGAAGATATTAAGGAATTTGCTATCTTTCCCCTATTGGGCCTCGCCCCTCAGCCCCCAGGGGTGCCAGACCCACCGTTTATACAAAATTGAGTCCCCTTGGCCCAAGGATGCTTCAGACCAAATATGGAATAAATCCTTTCATTCCTACAGAAGATATTAAGGAATTTGCTATCTTTCCCCTATTGGGCCTCGCCCCTCAGCCCCCAGGGGTGCCAGACCCACCGTTTATACAAAATTGAGTCCCCTTGGCCCAAGGATGCTTCAGACCAAATATGGAATAAATCCTTTCATTCCTACAGAAGATATTAAGGAATTTGCTATCTTTCCCCTATTGGGCCTCGCCCCTCAGCCCCCAGGGGTGCCAGACCCACCGTTTATACAAAATTGAGTCCCCTTGGCCCAAGGATGCTTCAGACCAAATATGGAATAAATCCTTTCATTCCTACAGAAGATATTAAGGAANCCCCCCCACCCCCACCTCTGCTCCCAGGGGTCCACACCCACCGTTTATACAAAATTGAGTCATTTTGGCCTAAGAATACTCCAAAGACCAACTTTAGTCAAAATCTACATGGCCGTTCAGGACTAGTAGCGTTTTAAAGGAAAAGTTCACATGGTTCTTTGGACCAGGTGAGCTAAAAAGCTGGAGGATAGATAAACTGTTTGAGTTTCGATCGTATCCTTTTGTTTGCGCTACAGTAGACTGCTGAAGACGATATTTGATCTGAAAATGATGTAATTCACTGGACCGAATTAAACTTCCGCCTTCTGTCGACTTTAAAATGTTGATTAACAAATGTGTCACGTTTACGCAGATTTGTAACGCATTATGAATTTGAAAGTCACCTTCAACTCATAATCCGTTCAACAAACTCATGTAAGCNGGGGGGGGGGGGGGGGGGGGGGGGGGGGGGGGGGGCACTGTATTGATGACAGCGAAGCGGTATAACTTTGGGACGCACTCATATTAAGTTCAGCAGTGTTGGGTGTGGTCACTGGGTGGTTGGGCGCTACTACTTATATTAATATCCGGCCTCCTCTGCCCCAGCCAGGTCTGACGACGCAATATAGAACAAAATGGTTTTATCGTCAGAAGCTTTGATATCGCAGCTAGATGGTCACCCACCAGCCCGCCCGCCCGCTATTTAGACATTCTTCCTTTTTATGAGTTGAAATGTCGAATCGTTCAATATAGTGTCAGATGTCGTAATCATTGTACTCCAAATTGAGCCAACTAAGGGGTCAAATTGTGCGAAAGATACATTGTTAATAGCGCCAATGACATTTAAAGCCTTTCATGGCAGGTGTATAGGAGGATTTTCCTTGGAATTAACCAAATATCTGCCAATTAAATCATTGGTCTCCTTATTTTTCGGAAGACTTCGGCTAAAAACGTTTTAAATGTTGTACATCGTTGGACACCAAATATTCTGCAATACGGGGTCAATATGTGCTACACTTATAGACATTTCCGTCACATTAGCTATATATCTTTCGTCGACTTTTCAACGACTGATTGACTGATTCCTTCATCTAGTAGTGAAGGTCCTTAGAAAATGGGGATCCAACACTTGTTATTCAAATAAGGATTCAAGTAACAAAGCCCCCATTGCTAAAATGGTGGAGGGCAAAATACCTCGCAATCATGGAAACATTCAAACAATATATATTTTTTCATTTAATCCAAATGTTCAGCTAGTCAAAACTATTTCTACAGTTATGCCGAGATGTCTATGAAACTTTGCACATTGTAAGTATGCAAGCTAGTGACTATCTATGCACTGAATGTTTAGTTCGACATGTTTATGTAGATGTAATATTCCCCATACTATAAAGCAATGTCTATATAAAGCATACTGTACTGTTCATACACCAAGAAACTGATGTAATTATAAAACTGTAATTTTAACTTTTGTTTCGAACCTTTTTGGCTGTCTAAGTAAGCATGTGGCGTACATTCGTGGTATATTTCAATCACGTTGCACATGAAGGCAATTCTGCTTGCGATATTCAGATAACATCCCTGGTTCTAAGATGCAAGTTCTAACTAACATAAGAGATGAAAATGAAATCCGTCACAGTATACCCGGCCATAGTGACATATAATGCTATCAACCCACCCATAAACAACCATCTTTTGTTCCCTTTAATTAAGGATTAGAGTGAATGATTTTTTAAGGGTTGAGCCATAACATAAAAGGAGTGTACTCTGAATAAATCGCGGAATAATAGTAAAACATATAAGTAGCAACTGATGAAAATCTGAAATTTCGATTTGATGTCAGAATGTAAAACAGAACACATTAGTTTAGCCCAAGATTCCTCTGGCTCTGTCACCAGACATAGATATTTTGAATACGAAAAGTCTGGTGTCATGGCTAGAGGAAACTCGGGCTAACAATAGTTGTGATCTGAAACAGCAAGGTTTAGTCCGACTGGTGTTTGTGTACATTGTATATGTGTTCTGTGCGTTGTGCTACGACACAAAAAAGCAACCCGTTAATACTAATCCGTGATCTGCATATGTTTGTAATGTTTTAATTATGTGAGACTTGGAATAGGACACACTACCTTGTATATCCCAGCATCCTGCATACCACCGCAGCGTCCCTTTCGTCCCATCCGTCGTAACATAGGAAGTGGGAATCCGAACCATTGATGAACTGAACAAAACCTTGGTTAGCCTGCCCTCCATACAAAATCACATAGTATTCCGGATCTGAAAAATATCGTTCAAGAGGCTCTGAGGATAGTGTATGACAATTTGACAAAAACTTCATTTGTGATGAATAGAAGTTTAACATGTTTTGATGAAAATAATAAAGACCAATTCAATATACCTGTAGCAGAGTTCAAGTACAAATTAGAGAAAAACACCAGCATTAAAAACAACATTTCCGTAGACTTCCTACCAAATCAATGGTTGACGGGGTAAACATACGCACTATATATATGTTATCGTGCTCACCGGTCCGAATTAAACTTCCGTAATGGAGCAAACCTGTACCTATCGCAGGCACATGCTATTGTTATATTGTAAAACGGGTTTCATGTTGTAAGTGCACATACCTACATAGTTAAAGTAAGAGGAGACGGGTTTTGTGATTTATGTTGCGTGGTAGGTGCCAATGAATTGAAAGGTAGGCGGCCGCGTTAAACCAGCTATTTAGTACAATGTTTACGTGCAGAGTCTGTAGAAAACTTATCTATAGTAATTCATCGAAGGACGAACGTAACACACACACACGAGTGATTGCATCTATAGAACTTGCTAATAAATACAGTATGATAACAATGAATTATACTGCACCGTAGTGTTTTATCCCTCTCACCAGTGATGCTTTGGGCCAAAACAATGGAATTCACATTTGTCTAAACTACCGTCGGTAGCTTATATGCATATGCATTAAAAAATTAGAGTACTTATAAATCTCAAATAGATAATGAATTAAGTGTGGCTATTATCAACCGTGCCACTAACAGATATTATTGTGGCTTTAAAGGTCACGGCAAACCTCGGGCACTAATCGGTTATTGGTACAGTATGCCAAAAATGAAATACACTTTACCATACAGCTAATTCGTCCTAGTTACTGTAATTATCAGTGGTGCTGGGGGCCAAAAAGGCGCAGAAACAGAAGGAGAGGTGCGTGAGTAGGATAAAGTTTCATCAAACTTGTGAACTATCTATTCATAAAGCCCTATAGTTTAGGCCTTAGTGTTGTATTTAAACATTTTTAGGAAATATGTACGACATTTGACATTACTGTTTTTAACAAACACGAGGTTAGTTTCAAAACAATGTAGATTGTACAATTATACATATTACGTCTGAATGAACGGTTTCAAATACATTTAGATTCCTACGAAACATGATGCTCTGTACATTCAGTGGGTCTACACTATTCATAAAGTGGATGTAAATATGAGATAAGCACAACTAACAAACATTCTCACGCGATAAAAACCAGAGATACCACGTGAAATATATATATATATATTAGTGGTACAGTAGAGCTATTATGTTGGATTGTGTAATGAATTATGACGTCTTCCCGTTTGTGTCAGTGTATTTCTGTGTTGCTGTGAGTTCTGATTGAGTCGTTGTGTGTTAACGCTATGATATAAGAAAAGTATACCATTCTTTGTCATTTTGTAATGACACTAAGGTACATAAAATACGAAGACTTCAAAAACAGTTTGAAATATTTCATTGTAGATGCAAAAGGGCACCACGAAGTGAATGTTTGACTTAAATACGGTAATATCGTCTGTGTGTTGACTCCGGGTTTTTATTTTTGGTTTGGTTTCTTTAGTTTGTTTTGTTGTGTGTTTCACGTGCCGTTAATAGCAGCTGCGGACGTGCCAGGTTTTGGCGGTGCAGGAAAACTATTGGCGTTTGACCAGTACCTGGCGACTACCCGACGTAGGCCTGGAACCCGTGACAAACCAAGTGGTGGAGTACTTGTTATTTTTGTGGACGCGATTTGTATACATTTATATATTTTTGCGTTGTGTTACGTTGTGTTACGATATTAACATTCATATATTTTTATGCGCTGTGTAATGATATATATATTTATAGGTTTTTGCGCTTTGTTATGATATATACATTAAAACATTTTTGCATTGTGTTACGCCACACAAGATATGTGTTGTCACCTGCATAAAACACTCGAGCAAATATATGCTAATTTATCTTGACTTAACGCTTGGTTTGTTATGAAACATTCTGTATGTTTGATGGTATTTTGTTAACTGATCCGAAGTACTCCTCCGCGTTGTACATACAAGTGTGGTACAGATTTGTGTTTTGGTCCGTAGAGTTGTTAATCCCATCACATCTACATTTTCCTTTTTTATTTTATTTTTTGTGGTGGAGGGGGATAGCTTTGTAATTGTACCGGGTCCTATGCTTTTGCCAGATCCCAAATAAGTTACAACCGTTTTTACCGGTCCTATACGGCATGATTGACCAGGTCCTACACATTGTATGTAACATTGATATGTTTACTGGGTCATATGCTATACACTAAAGTTTGTACCGACGAATGTAACATATGTATGCATATATGTAACATAAATAAATTTGTTACGGGTCGTATATACTTACGGGGTCCTACAAAACATATACAGGATTTTGGTTAAGGTTGTAATATGTGTTATGTAACATTTATAAGATATAACCGGGTCCTTTGTAACATACCTTTTAACATGGCACTATGTTATAGTTAAATGAACATAAATACAATCCAGTTATTGAAATATTTTATAAATATGAACAGGATTTTAAGGATAAAGCTTTGTTTTAATGGCGAAGTACCATTGTTAGTGTCCAGTTATGATTATCGTCCGACCGTTTATAATATATAAAATATGATATTTGCTAGAGTGGATCACTTATTAAATGAGAGAAATGTACGTTACATGCATGTAGAAGATGAATACGATGAGGTGAATCAGGTTTAGCTTAGCATCGAAAACCTCTGTCATCCAAATCTACCTACTGACAGGACAACTTGTCGTAGTCATCGGCAGGTCGATAAGTGGGACGATTAGTAAGGACGTCGACAAGGATATCCTCCTCTTGCGCTACTTATATAACATCACCTACATATAGCGACAGCTGAAGTGAAAGCCATCGTTTGAATCTGATTTCATAAGAACTATAAACGTCACTGGCAATACAATACTCGTGTTACACAATTTATTTTCGAATTCATCAATGGTGAGGGGATATCGCAGACTTAGCATTTACATACTCATACAATTTACATTTCTTGTAAACGCAATTTTTGTTTTCATTCGTGATAACGGACATTGTTCTATGAATGAGATACATATTACTGTACATTGTTGCTTTGCTGCTTCTATTATTATTGTTTTTATATCAATGTACATGATATGGAAACGGCAATGCATGAAAAGAGCGAGGCTTTAGCTAATCTTTGATTTTTATGGATTAGAAATTTACATCATGTTTGATATTCCCCCATATAAATAATCATAACATGGACCCAATACGCGACGTGAAGTGATAATAACGTAGCCGAAAAATGGAACTTCTATTAGTCACCTGGAAATTAATTGAGGAAACTTGCAAATGAAAGGTGTAAACTGAAAAACCTGTTTCGTTCTAGAACTGTTTTCCTATTTTTACAGACTTTCTATGGTTTTCTTAAAATGTCGCTATTTACTTACTCGGGTGCTGACTACAACTGTTCATGAAAAGTACCCGGCGGTCGATAAGAGGATGTCATCTGAGTTGAGACATGTCCTAGTTATGCCTTGACGATACATATGGATATGCAGATATTAGTAGGCAGAAAAAAACGAGTGTTGTTCAAAGTCCACCTTTGCTTGATCCCATCATTTGCTTGGTGTTTACAATGATTTCTAACAAATGAACGAGTTACGCCAAGAGGTTTCCGGGTGGACGAAGTCGGACGGTCGGAAAAGTCAGACGGTCTGCCTTCTGATGGCTATCACCGATAAGTTATAATTTTGGCACATACCTTTGGCTTATGCCCTCATGATATGACACGACATCAAGTTCAGCTTGGAGACCATTCTGAGATTTGAGGGAGTGGGGGACAAAAAAAATGGCCTCCTTTTGTCCAAATAACAGGGATTTATTACAGTTAGGTAGAGATGTACACTAACCTGTTATATATGAAAAGGTAGGAACAAATGTACTCAGACAAAACTTGTGATAAAGCTGAACATAGATACATGTCCACATGAAAATGGCAGTTGGTTGGTTGTTGTGCCAAAAAACAGCAATTATGAACAAAACATGTTTACAAAGGTATGAAGAAAGTAACTAAACCCGCTCACTTCCATTTCCATTTCTGGTTAAGATACTTATAAATAAAATTTGGTAAAATTATTGTATACGGGTTTTAATGTTACACAATACATTGAAATGTTTAAAAAAAATAACGTGTGGTTTTGTCAAAAAGAGGCCATTTGTGATGTTGGTCCCCCACTTTACACCCTCATATCTCGGAATGGTCTCCAAGTTGACTTTAATTTCACGCCATATCAGGACGACGTAACTACGTAAATATAAAATGTATCAGTGATAACCACCAGCAGGACGAATTGGCACCCCTCCTTGATTTTGTAACAGGCATGATTCAGAGTTGTTTCCCCTGTTACCTGTTATACATGCTTCATAAATATTGTAATTAATGTATTAAAACATAATTTTATCTGGAAAATGTATTTTAGAAAAACTGTTCCAATAAAGAAATGGATTCTCATGTATGTAAAATTATGTAATGTGACAGAGAATAAAGATTTAGGAAGATGTATACTGTACATTATGCAAATTAGCAATCGCTTCATTGGATACTCATTGGATTTTGACCTTATTATGATAGCCGGAAAGTGTCAGTTTGTTCTTACTGAATCTGCTTTAAAACTGGAAATAATTAAGGAGAGCCAGACTCTTCCAAATGTTTCCTTTTTGTGAGTTTTGTCCCGATACCAGGCCCGTGTTGTTATGGGATATATATGGTATCAAAACAATCATATATGAACTAGGCTAATATCAGTCTATAAACAAACCTGGTGGCCACTCGACAATCTAGCGTATTATATTTGTCCATGTCAAGTCTGGGGCTCATTGACGATTATATTCATATTCTGATACTCTTTATTTTTATTTATGTATCAGACAGACTATCTCCCATTGTAATTAATATAGCCACGTCATTGCATCGTACAACCTACTTTCGGTTTCCCTTGCAATATCCTTATGAGTCGGCACTATAAGGTTTAACTCAGTTTCGTTTTGGCCTATCTTAATCAGAGGACGTTTGTGATATTCGCAGAACATAGGTCATTTTATAGAATACCAGACATGATTTGACAAAGGACATGGCTGTAACTTTTACTATCATATTTGAGTTTGCCATTGTGTGTTATGGATGTATCCTATGTGGTGGATTCCCACTAGGGCATGTAGCCAGTCCCGATATGCCGTCAGAATTCACTTCCACAGGGGTACATGTAAACATAACGGATCTGCAGATTCCCTTGACATATTGTGCCCAGCAATACCCCGACAACACGTCCCCTGCCTCTTTCGATGTTCATCATCAAGCACATGAGCAAGGGATATCCCCCCAGAATAATTGGATAATTTTGGGGATCGTTTTTGGCGTGTACATCCTGATCCTGATCTTTCTAGCCTGTTTAAGGAAGTGTTTACTACAGGTAATATTGAAATGTCATTCATGAAACTTCAGTCAAAATATTTTTTATTGTACTTCACTTCTCTCTGTTTTATTTCATTTATATATCTAATTTCACGGCTACATATGTGGCGTTTGTTTTCGCTTAAAATTTGAACGGGAGCGCTTATTATAAGACGGATGGTTTCCATGGTCATAATTCCTGTCGCCATATCTTTGTTCTTTATTCCTGAGGCCTTGCGGCTCATAAGTTCCAAATACAACATAAATATGTACCATATATACACAAAAAAACGTCAAATACATCTATGTTGTTATACGCTGTTATGTTAAGTGTCTGTATACTTTTCAAATGTGTCAATATGATTTTAGAACTTGACACTGTAATGTCATTATTGACTTTATATTTGAGATAGGTATGAATTACCTAGTGTGCATTTTCAAGATACAAGATACACGAATTTTTATTTAACGCTGCACATTTGAAATTGTATGCATTAGCAATGTACTGCTACTATTGCGACAAACATGAGATACTATTACAAACATCAATCAACAACATGCAGGTAATTAATTTCAAAATGGCAAGTTAAGAAGTGACTAATATGTGTAACAGGAGACAAAGTATAGCAATATACACACATGGTACAATGACAAAGTATAACAATATACACACATGGTACAATGACAAAGTATAACAATATACACACATGGTACAATGACAAAGTATAACAATATACACACATGGTACAAAGACAAAGTATAACAATATACACACATGGTACAAAGACAAAGTATAACAATATACACACATGGTACAATGACAAAGTATAACAATATACACACATGGTACAATGACAAAGTATAACAATATACACACATGGTACAAAGACAAAGTATAACAATATACACACATGGTACAAAGACAAAGTATAACAATATACACACATGGTACAAAGACAAAGTATAACAATATACACACATGGTACAAAGACAAAGTATAACAATATACACACATGGTACAAAGACAAAGTATAACAATATACACACATGGTACAAAGACAAAGTATAACAATATACACACATGGTACAAAGACAAAGTATAACAATATACACACATGGTACAAAGACAAAGTATAACAATATACACACATGGTACAAAGACAAAGTATAACAATATACACACATGGTACAAAGACAAAGTATAACAATATACACACATGGTACAAAGACAAAGTATAACAATATACACACATGGTACAAAGACAAAGTATAACAATATACACACATGGTACAAAGACAAAGTATAACAATATACACACATGGTACAAAGACAAAGTATAACAATATACACACATGGTACAAAGACAAAGTATAACAATATACACACATGGTACAAAGACAAAGTATAACAATATACACACATGGTACAAAGACAAAGTATAACAATATACACACATGGTACAAAGACAAAGTATAACAATATACACACATGGTACAAAGACAAAGTATAACAATATACACACATGGTACAAAGACAAAGTATAACAATATACACACATGGTACAAAGACAAAGTATAACAATATACACACATGGTACAAAGACAAAGTATAACAATATACACACATGGTACAAAGACAAAGTATAACAATATACACACATGGTACAAAGACAAAGTATAACAATATACACACATGGTACAAAGACAAAGTATAACAATATACACACATGGTACAAAGACAAAGTATAACAATATACACACATGGTACAAAGACAAAGTATAACAATATACACACATGGTACAAAGACAAAGTATAACAATATACACACATGGTACAAAGACAAAGTATAACAATATACACACATGGTACAAAGACAAAGTATAACAATATACACACATGGTACAAAGACAAAGTATAACAATATACACACATGGTACAAAGACAAAGTATAACAATATACACACATGGTACAAAGACAAAGTATAACAATATACACACATGGTACAAAGACAAAGTATAACAATATACACACATGGTACAAAGACAAAGTATAACAATATACACACATGGTACAAAGACAAAGTATAACAATATACACACATGGTACAAAGACAAAGTATAACAATATACACACATGGTACAAAGACAAAGTATAACAATATACACACATGGTACAAAGACAAAGTATAACAATATACACACATGGTACAAAGACAAAGTATAACAATATACACACATGGTACAAAGACAAAGTATAACAATATACACACATGGTACAAAGACAAAGTATAACAATATACACACATGGTACAAAGACAAAGTATAACAATATACACACATGGTACAAAGACAAAGTATAACAATATACACACATGGTACAAAGACAAAGTATAACAATATACACACATGGTACAAAGACAAAGTATAACAATATACACACATGGTACAAAGACAAAGTATAACAATATACACACATGGTACAAAGACAAAGTATAACAATATACACACATGGTACAATGACAAAGTATAACAATATACACACATGGTACAATGACAAAGTAGCACATCGGTAGTCACAGACAAATAGTCTATAGAGGCTGGAGATAAATACTGAATACCAGTATGTCACACAAATATTTCTAATAAAAAATTAGAACATTTTGTCAGAGGGATATACATACATGCTGATAAAGCAAAGTGTGAAAATTGACAGTATATATAATTATATAGTGTGGGTAAATGTGTTTGTGTTTTACGTCCTATTAACAGCTACGGTCAAAAGTGTGGGTTAAAAGGAAAGTGCTGTCTGTTTAAATAAAGTTCAGGCCATAGGTAATAAACTTTTAAGAGCGATGATTTAAAAGATGATTTAAAAGATGCTGCATAATATCGCAATTTAAATTTATTTCAGGCGCAGGACATACAATTAAAATAACTAGCATGACAGTAAACAAATCCATACATTTAGTGTGCAATGGAAGGGAGATAACTTCACTTCAATCCACACGTTCGAGAAGTTGTTCCACTGTTCAATTATACTGAGTGGACAATTCCGTTTAAACATACTGATTTCTGCTATTTAATTCACATATGGAAACGTCCATTTCGGATCTCACATAGTATACGTACAACGTATCAGATTTCCGTCTGTTTCCTGATTGGAGTATTCTGATAATGAAAGATTAATACATTTACAATGTAGTGATACTAATCAGATATCTTATATGGAAACTTCCATAAACTGATCGCGCATACATTATTACCTAACAGGTCTGAGTTTTGGTATAATTTCGTACGGTACACTTTTTCAGAATTATTCAAACATTAACTGAACTCTGAATTACAGTCAGTGTATGATTAAGGAGGAAAACATTGACTACTTTCGTTTTCCATTTACTCGACAAGAGTTTAATCTGATATGATGTAATTTTTCCTTGGTTACCGAGATAATGTAATAATCACGTGATGTCGGTAATTATCTACATATTCCTATTCTGAGGTCGACATGTTTGTTTCTGAGGTTATAGTACTACAAAGTTATGTTGACCCTCTCAGATAAAAAAAACAACAACAGTTTAAATGTCCATGAAAGCGTGCACAATGCATGTCCCAAAACTACTCGTTATCAGAAAACAAACAAGATGGGGAGTCCCTAGGGGTCCAGACCAATTAACCCTATCCCACTCTCTCAGTCCGCCTATTGTATTTTCTTTATCAAATGTTCTGAAATATAAAAGCTTATTTCTAGCAGAAATCGCTAATTCACATGCTAATGTAACCGTTGGGGAGAATATTTATTGTACAATGTACCTTACCATAGGTCTAATAACATATATACATTTTTGTGACATGTATGTAATTATCGATTGTTTTAATTTTGCTGTTGTGTTATTTTTTCTTTATTAATATGAAATGTATTGTAATCCTCATTTTGAAAAAAAGATAATTATAATGTTTGCAACAGTCTCTACTCCAAACGTGAATCTCTAGTCATTTGACCATCCTTGAGACTCAAGCGGTTACAGAACACAGAACGTAAGTGATCGTAACCCCTGGAATAACAATCAAACGGCAAAGCCTCATACGATACCTCGACCATTCATTGTGGTGCATTCGTTACTTGACGCTGTTAAACTACACTTACTGTTTATTGTAGAGTTCACACAAAAGACAAGCAAAACGTGTATGGATAAACGTGTTTCGGATAATAAGAACGATTTGGCGCTTGATCTGGGACTTTCTACGAAAAGTACGTGTATTTAACTATTAAGTAGGTTTAACATATTTAGTTCCGTTTTAGTGTTTGTTTAAGATTTATCGGTATAACGAGATAAAAACAATATTTGGATTTCCTCAATTAGCTGCTGTAGGTTGTAGAACTAATCTTCAATTTATAGATACACACATGTAATTTAATCTTTCTTGTAACAAACATGTTCATTGGCTTAAAAATGTATGTTATCAGCCCATAATGTAAAAAATGACGTCGCCGTTTGTAACGTCGCTTTTGATTTGGCTGATACAGCAGCGTAATACGATCTAAGAGAAAATAGTCCATCAATAAAAGTGGATTTCCACAGGGATTGTGTATAGTAGATTAAATTAAAAGGATTGACCTGAATATATTTTTTATGTTATGGAGCTATAACACAAAAAAAACGTACTCTCGTCATAAACCGCTTCGCGGTTTATTTAGAGTACTCTCCGTTTTTTTGTGTTATATCTCCATAATATAAAAAATATATTCAAGGTAATCCTTAAGCAATGAAATGAAAATAAAGCGATATTCACCTTTAGACCAATAATACGAAAACATATATCCAATTAGTTTTAACATAGAATACAAAGTGTATCAATGATATACTTAACAAAATATAATGTAACATTTTATCTATGGACAATGGGTGTCATTGAACAGTAATCGCGTTGAAGCTTGAACGGCTCCATATTTGAAAAGGTATCAATCCGCCAGGCCCTTCTTTCATTGCGTATACGCTAATTTGTACGCAGTCAGTGTTTTCTAAGCTGAAGAAGGGAGATATGTAAATATGTTACTTTATTTAGTGATTTCCAACGCGTCGGCACCTATATATAATTCGTTTGTTTCGTTTTATCGCTCGGGTTTTAACTTCCTCGCAAAAAGTAAAGTGTCATTGAAATCCAAGGGTTTGACATTCAGTAGACGTGTTCTCTGTACAGCACACGAGTGTATTGAGAGCGGATCCCTTGAATTTCGATGATGAAAGTAAGTTAACATCGGGGTTTATTGTCCTCACAACAGCTTTGCTAACATCGGGTTTATCCTCCTCACAACAGCTATGGTAACATCTGGGTTTATCGTCCTCACAACAGCTTTGTAACATCTGGGTTCATCGTCCTCTCAACAGTTTGGGTAACATCTGGGTTTATCGTCCTCACAATAGCTATGGTAACATCGGGTTTATCCTCCTCACAACAGCTATGGTAACATCGGGTTTATCCTCCTCACAACAGCTATAGTAACATCGGCTTTATCCTCCTCACAACAGCTATGGTAACATCGGGGTGAGCTATGATAACATCGGGGTGAGCTATGATAACACCGGGTTGTATCGTCCTCACAACAGTTTGAGTAACATCTAGGTTTATCGTCCTCACAACAGCTATGGTAACATCGGGTTTATCGTCCTCACAACAGCTATGGTAACATCGGGGTGAGCTATGATAACATCGGGGTGAGCTATGATAACATCGGGGTGTATCGTCCTCACAACAGCTATGGTAACATCGGGTCGTATCGTCCTCACAACAGCTAAGATAACATCGGGGTGAATCGTCCTCAGAACCGCTATGGTAACATAGGGGTTTATCGTCCTCGCAAAAGCTAAGATTACATAGCCGTTAAAAGAATATAACAGAGGATATTACGATCTGAGCGTTCAGTATACACGTGCTTTCCTGTTGTGAACGGAAGACGCCACAAACGGTGCCACAAGTAGACACAAATCGCTTACCCCTGAGAAACCTTTAGTTTCTACTTCAGTTTTGTTGGATTTGTTATGTCCACTTTTTCTTCTTCTTCTTCTTTCTGTTACTTTCTCTCTGTGCTAGCTTAAGCTTACATATATTGTCTGTTTTACTTGCAGTTTTGCTGTTGCATGTCTCCGGAGCAGCGACAGGTATCGGTACGTATTCATTTTACACCTTACAAAAACTACAGATAGTACTATTTGAATTTAAGCATGCCATCATACATACACAAAGCGCAATATCTGATTCGCTATGGATCTGCCATTTATTTGAATTCAGAATAATTAAATTAATTATTATTACGTTTGCGGTAAACCAAATTCTGATTCGATGGAGAATAGAAAAATAATAAGATACATATAATGTATTTGTTTTGTTCGTGAACTTCATGTATCAAAGCTCCATATATTTCAAGTTTGAAATTTATGTTAGAATACTGAAACGTGTTTGAGTGTACTTGCATTGCCGGACTAGGGTTTAAACAATACTTTATTTATTATTTGTAGGGTATACCTAATATCGGAAACACCTGCTACATGAATGCAGTTCTACAGGTAAGGTTTTTCTGATGCTTTTGTTTATTCATTCTTGTAGAATTTCGAAAAGTGCCTCTGATCGATATTTTCTTATTCTAAAGAAAACAAAGTTTAGAAGATAAAACCAGACTTATCATACAAGTATATGTTTATAAATCGGTCCAATGATGAATATATTAACTACGGATTTTAGTCTGACAAGTCGTAGTATTCAATGAGGCTACAAACTAATGCCAAATCACCGCTTTACGTGCTTCTGGTTAATTGATCGTTCATGTCTTGTTTATAAGGTACTTTGCTGGACACCAAACTTTAAAGAGCAATTGCGAAAAGCCACCGAGGTGATAGACCTTCCAAATCCACAGGGACTTGATAAAGACTCAGCGACTGATGAAAGAAGTGTGGTAAGATTTCATAGAAAAGTAACCATATAGAGTTAGAATTGTTCACAGGATTTTGATGGGCACATTGACACTCTTCCTATAGCATATTCCAACGGAAAACTTGTTTAACATAACCTCCTCCATCCTCCTCCTTCTGCCTCTCTCCACTTCCGCCACCCTTCATTTTGTTCTTTTTAATCTTTTCTTGTATTTTACAGACCTCACCAAGGATAGACAAATCTTTGCTGAAACTGGTGGACAGTGTGCGGGCTGGCAAAACAGTGAGGAAGTCATTGCCCAATGCCATCCTTGATGATGTTCGCCAACTGTACGTTATTTGAATCAGCTACGTTTTTTTCGTTACTGACGTGATATAATCATTTACATGGTTTTACAGTTCTTAGTTTCACATGCAAACGAACCAATAAAAGCGGATTATGATGATGTAGTATGTAGATCTAATTGAACCAATCTATAGTATGCAACTAGCGTTAAATTGTTGGTATATGTCCGCGATATCTCTAAAAGAAACATATAAGATTGATAAACGACGGTTTTCCAAAGAGTACCATGTGGCCATACACCAACCATATTGTGCTATCGGAATCTTCTGATCATTTCGGACAACACGTGTTTTCCTCCAGTGTCTTGTTTACGGTATCTTTCTTTTTTATTTAGTGTCTCCTCATATCCCATTTTTTGTTGTTCTCTCGGATTTCGTCGTTGTTTGTGTGTGTTCAAAGTAATAGTATACATACGTTTTCTTCAAACTCTTTTATACATTAGAAATGATCGGATTGAGGGTCACAACCAGCAGGACAGCTATGAATTATTCAATACCATTATAGCTGGATTGGAAGATTTAATTGAGGTTGGTAGATTAATTTGATTACCTTGATTACGACATCAAAATAGCGAAATATTCACTGTATATGATAAAGTATGTGAATTAAATACTACTGACGATGAAGAAACCTGCTTTAACAGGTATCGTATTATGATTTACAAATTATGGCAAACATTTCAAGGAAATGCTCTTCATGTTTAATTTGTATTATAATCACATACAATAGTTGTGTTGTTATTTGGAAATAATTTCAAATATAATTAATAAGTTTATTGATATTTCAGGAACGGTGCAATTGTGACAATCAAACAGGTACATTTACGGCTTTTCAATTAGTTCACGTATAATTAGTACATACGTATACGGTACTCACCATCCTAATAACGATTGACGATGTGTTGTATTAGTTGTTTGTTGCTTAACCTATCTAATATCTCTATTAGTATTCATCACATGGCAAAATTTGGTTTTTGACTTTTGGAGAAGTACTGATTTGTTTGTGTATACTCAAGGCAGTATAATTATGTGAATATTGCTTGTTATCTACTACCGAAGTAAACGTTTTAGATTGTCACAATGTCTTTCCGGTTTGTACTGCTGTTTCAGTGTTTATAACTTAAAATGAAATGATCCGATCTATGCTAAAATTGGTTGGCCAATTTCCGTCAATGTCAGAATCATTTTGTTTTACATTGCCTTTATGTGTGTATTGTAAACCGTTCCATTAAGGCAAAATAATTATTAATATTTTCATCAGAAATTTGTTTCCAGGTTCGAAAATGTCTTTTTTTCAAATGGAGGGTTTGAATTTGCTTAAATAATTCCTTTCCAATACCATTTCTATAACCAATTAGGCAACATAATAAGCTTACTAGTTCAGTTGAGGGGAAGCATATTGCATGCACAGTGTGTCCAACCATTTAAACGTTTAGCCATGAAATACAAACATTCTTAAAACATGACTTGGTGGAAACTTGTTTAATCTATTAAAGGCAAATTCAAATTGGTAAGAGATGGAAGACTGATTATACAGTGTTAATTACTAGTGCTAATGTGTAGACGTTGTTTGTTGTCAAAGATAAACACGAATCATGCTAAGAGTAGAACGAGAATGAATCAATATCCAATACTGACAGTTTCCGTAATTTGTCTAAACCTGCAGTCAGTAAATTTGAAAATCATTGAACTGTTTTAAATTGTTTGTACAGACACATGTACGTCAGTGCGGTAATTTCTGTACTTTTTACACAAACAGAGCAATTGATGAATAAGTCCCCGGTATCCCGACTGTTCAGTGGCGCGTTCTTCACCGCCTTCACGTACGAATCGTGCAATCATGTAAGTTGACGAATCGTACCAGTTTGATCTTGAACGTCACTAAAAGATACAAGATACAGGAAGCTTTATTTACTGACGTATATAGCATAACATTGAAACATTAGCTCTGTGGAGCTATTTTTACGACATACATAAGTAAAAGACAGAGTAATAACAAGGTAAAAAGCATGCTAGTAGAAAAAGTAGGATTATGCATCAAAAACTATAAACATTGTACATAGAAACTTACAAAATAATCAGAAAACAGTTTGATGATAGCACATGCATGTTTAAAAGCAGGAACAGTACTAATTATAACATAAGCATAAATATTTCATATAATATCACAAATGGTTAATAAGATACTTTATATCGGAAAATGATGGAATAAAATACTCATGACAAATTGAGTACAGCTGGGTCGTCAACAGGTATTTTATCTTTCATATCGAAAATACTGATCATTTAGTCTATCAGGATACGAAAGTGATAATCTTTTTATAGAATACAAATATACAAAGGTGTAGAATACCAATAGTATATAATAATGGGTTTTCGATCTGGGAAGAAAACGTGGAGCGTATTAAACAGATATACATATATTGTTAGAGATTTAGGTCGAGTTACTACAATCGAAACGTTAGAAAAAAACTTTCAGTATTTACAAATGCGATATTTATGATTTTGTCACGTATTTTAGGTAAAAAAATATGATCATCTAATTCTTTTGACAGATTGAGACAAAATTCCAGAGATTTACCTCTATCCCTGTGCAGATCATACCAAAGACCAATGTGAGTAATCACAATATCGATGAAAACCAAATACTGATACCATAGTAAAAAGTAAGGCATGTAACAAATCAATCTCAAAGATTAGATTAAGCGGATGCTAAATCAACATAATGTTTTAATCTAATTTGATGTTTTAAACTGTAACCATAAATGGTATTGAAGTCCCTATTTCCAAATGGTATTCGAGGGTAATCCAAGCCTTCCTGTTACTGTAAAAATATGAGATCCATTCAAAGTAGCGTAGAGCGTTAACACCTGGATGTTTTCGATTGATACAACTGCTTATAATATATATCAAAGATCTTTGGGTACCAAGAGTGTATGATTGAACACTTTATCTAAACTTTTGTTACCGTATACATGAAAGTAAGAATGTAATTTCAGCTGTTGTCCAATAACAGCAGTGTAAAAGAATCCTCCGTACCTTCAAATAGCCAGGAAGCCGAGAAAGGAGACACAGATCGTCAATACCAAGACAATCACAGCGATGCATACAATAACTGTTCTGATACAGAATACACATCTTTAAGTGATCACAGGTCGGCGTCAAAACATGCGACAGACCTGCTACATCATCAATACGTACGTTGTCTCCGCACTTTGGAAAACAATAGTTGGGGTCACACGGACTTAGGGATGGACTAAAACTATTTACTGAGGTTCAGAAAAGTTCTGGTACAGACTTTTGCAGAACCTGTGCGAAGACTGGAAATAGAGGTAACGTTATCACCTTTTAATGTATTCTAGATAGACATTCAACATATCTTTTTTTTCACTGTTCCCTGATTTCCTAATAAAAAAAATGTAATGGTAAGACATGTACATTACTTTACAATTCAGAATATTCCGAGTAACATGCTTGAGTTTATCTTGGATTCTGTGAAAAACCAAAGAATGCTTAAAACAGCACGTATTTTATTTGTTTTCAAACGTTTGTATGTTTTTTTTTCAAAACATATGCATCTGAATATTATTAAGTAGGTGGCATTAAAATCACTTTGCCTGTTTCCCAGTTCGTGTTGTATGAAAGACATTTAAATTGAAATATTTTAAAATGAAATATAAAATATTTCATCGAAAAAGTTCGAAGTAAACTATTTTTAATTCAAGGCATTGTTGATAGCACTTATGCTTCATTAAGTACGGTTTTTAATTATTTCAATGGATATCATTTATTTAACGATTTCTCTCCAGTCTGTGAAAATAACTTGCGCATGAAAAAAACATATTGATCTTGTTAAGATAAAAAAAAAAGGCACTGATTTTACATGTGCTCCACCTTAAGGATTCTGTTTATCAACCATACAGATTCAAACACGGTAACCAGAAGTAGGCGGATGTTCATCTCGTTACCCCCCATACTGGTGCTTCAATTCAACAGGTTTAAAATGGTAATTATTACTTAATCTGTAAAACGCAATCTGTACAATTACAGTGATAAAAAATAGTATGACGATTCTAACACAAACCGTTTACGTGTACATATAAAAAAAACCTTGTCATCCTCGAGAGGATGCATTCATATCGAAACTCTTGGATTTTGGTGGCTAAAAAGGTATACCTCATATTACATAGAGAGTTTAATTTGTAGCTAATGAAATAGGGCGATTTCAGCTAGGCTACTCGCGTTCACGAGGGCCATTCAATAAATGTTGTCACCACACAGCTCCCATACGAAGGGGCAATAATAACTGAATAAGTTATTCCTTGATGAATAATATGTACTCTTGACTAGAGGCTACTTGTAATGCTTTAATGAAGGGAAAGGCGAAATCTGAAACGTATTCTTATATCAAAGCTTTAAAAAAATACCGACAAAAGAAATACATACAGATCTAGATTTGTGCAGCGTAAAAGGCACCTCTGCAGAACTGCTATGGGTGAGCATATTCAAGAATGGTAAAGTTGACATCAAGGAGCACATGCGGCCATGCAGCCAGTTTTTTCAGCATCAAAGAAGAACATTTCTACTTTGAAAGCGATAATCAAGAATGATGGTCATTATACTGTTTCTGAGACAGCTCATGTGGTTGGTATAAAAAGAAGTTTTGTGCCCAATGGATCCCAGATTAGCTGACATCTGAACAAAAGACCAAACGTTTGAAATGTTCTAAAATATATTTTAAAATACGGTAGTTGCGACTCAAGAAAGCTATCGGAGTTTACGTTCAGGGGATGAGACCTGTTTCTATTACTTCGAACCCCAGAGGCACATTACTAAAAAGCAATATGTGTCGGTAAATCAAGAAAAGCAAGTGGTTGCAACATAAATTAAAAGCAACAAGAAAGTTTTGTATGCCATTTTATTTCAGTTCTAGTGGGCCCATGGTTCGTATACCGTGCAAGCTTTACAAAGACAAAGTACTGAAGCCTGTCGAAAGATTCTACTTGAGAAATCGTCCAAACTAAGGGTTGAATGGCATCCAGCTAATTCAGGACCATGCTTCATCCCAGAAACGCAATAGTGTAAAGGGGTTTTTGAAGCAAGACAGAGCCCTATTCACCAGATCTAAGTCCCTGTGACTTCTTCCTGTTTCCTTAACTAAGGAAAATGCTCCCTGTGAGACGATATGCCTCGAGGAATTCTCTTGGTAGTGCAATCTTCCAGTGTCTTACCAATATACCAAGGGGAGACTACTGCAACGTGTTTACATCACGGATAGCGTGATTGCGAAAGTGCGCTTCTTCTAAGGCGGGATACTGCGAAAGACTGTAATAGAGAGGTCAAATGTCATACATCATGCATGTGGTTCTTGACACGAATGACAAAATCTGTTGATTGAATCTCGTAGATATAGCTCGCTCATTACGCGATGTTGATTTTTTGTTTTGTATGCAAATAACTTGCACATAACTAAGTTCACACACAAACTTAATTTTTAACTTGTTTGATAAATGTAACACATCATGAAACACATTTTGAACCCTTTTGATAACTGTCATTATCGTATCACTCCTATTTTGTAGAACGAGTATGGACAACTTAGAAAAATCGACGAACGTTTGACTTACCCAGAATATCTCGACGTAGCACCATTTTGTTCTTCTGCATTTGAGGTAAGAATATAAAATATTTAATATTCCTATATAGTTTAAAGTTTGTTTACCCTTGTATGTTCATTGCTTAATATATATATGATACTAAACAATTATGTACGAACATGTTATAACTTCCAATTGAGCTATGCACTTGCAACGCTTTTCCAAAGCCACGTCCGGATTGCAAGTGTCGTATGTGACTGGTCTTGAACGAATCAGCATTTTCGAGTACGGTCATCCGTGACCGTGTACAAACCGAAATGTATTCAAGTACATCCCGAAATGCATTCAAGTACATCCCTGTTGATCTGGTACAACATAGTCATTGTCGACAGATTATGACAGTACCACTTACATCGGATTGTTGGTAAAATAGAAAACACGTAAATGTATGCTCGATAAAAAGGACAGCCTAATTCAAATAATTACAATATCATGGTCAAGTGGCCTAATTAGCTCGGACACCAATATTATTCGATAACATTTTTATGGTAGATTTGAAATAATAATAATATGGATGTAACGAAGAAACAATTATTTCGGGATTCGAAAATTTGTGAAAGATGACTTTCCGTAGTTTTCTAACTATCGTCCGATATTACACCAAAATTACACGCATCGGTTATGTGGAATATCATATCATGTTTGCAGGTACTTGATGACCACCAGACAACAATGTACCGTCTATATGGTGTGGTATGTCACATAGGATCAATAAAGGGAGGTCACTACACATCTCGTGTGCGGACCCCTGTACATGTACAACATGAAGAGGATTTGAAGGAGCGGTTCCTTACACATGATTGGCAAGATCCTGAAAAGTATGTTGAGAACATTTTGTCTTTCTGGGAAGAAAAACAATGTGAAAAAAAACACAACGGTCAACACAGATGTGGAAAAAATGAGACAAGTCTAGAAAAGGCCCAATCGGACATCTGGTACACAATCAGTGATACAAACGTTCGTAAGTATCCACACGACGGTCACACTGCCCTTAAGGAATCTGACGCGTACATATTGGTGTATGAACGAGTGTGAAGCCATTTCGTATAGGAAAGATGTATGTTATGTTCTTAAAGGAGTTCGGATCTAAATAAGAAACAAGTAATTTCAAACTTGAGATAATGAAGTGAGACTAAATATGTCCTTTGATATGGATTACAGTTATGTTACTGTTGCCATCTGGATTATATGTATGATTTATATTCGTGTCTTATTGAAATGTTATTTCTTATTAATTTTAGATTTTTACCTTTTTTATAACATCTGACTGTTACGTTTGAAAGAATATATTATCGTTTGGAAAAGGTGGTTTTAAATATAACCGTCAACAAAATATACGTTATTTTGAGGAGACGCGGAACATTTAGTGCTAACAATAGTGGTCGGCTAGTATGACGAACTACTTTAACAGGTCTGTAGGTCACTACTGCTATCCTGTTTTATGTCAGTGATGGATACTCCTGTGTCTTTTCTAAACTTTTATGTGATATTTTAATAAATAAAGCAAGAAATGTAGTTGCAACATGTTCGTGTTTGTTTCATGATGGTAAGGATACAGTTTAAAGAGTAGTGGCTCGTTACCATGCTATTTATCTCCGTCGTGTTCGCCTCGTTCTCTCTTTGGTAGGAAATCTATTTTTTTTATCGGTTTTCTATTTTCTTTCTCTCTCTTTCTGGATTTTGTTTATTCTATTTTTTACTGAAACACTTTCTTATTATTGTCGTTCTAGTTCTTTAATGCATATTTTTAATCTGCAAAACAATATTTCATTTCGTTCGCGGTAAAATATTAGTGCACATCATCCCTGAGCTTGAATTGGTTATAGAGTTACAGAGTTATAAACTTAGTTTTACTGGTTTTGCAAAAAGTCTTCTGTAAAAACAATATAAAGAAATCGGCAATAGCTTCATATTAAAAAAAACTCGCATCTCGTATGTGACGCTGCATAAATCCATCAAGATCAAGATACGATCAATGAAATGCTGGTTGAAATGTCTTAGATTTGTCGCGAATTCCAATAGGATCTTGAGTGAATATAAGAGGTCAAGCGCTAATTGAGGCATGCGCTACCCATTTTGTGGTGAAAACGTGCATGTACGTCACACCACTGAGAGTAACATTATAAATCTATTATTTACCCTCTATACTAGTGTTTTTATAGCAAAGTTTTTTTTTGTACTTCATTCAATACCATTTATACACACTTTATCACGCACAATAGAACACACACTCTAAAAATAATTATCTTTATTCTTTCTGAAATAGGTTAACAAGGTACTATTTTTTTGCATACTCAGATATCATAACATCATTAAGTACTATTTTTTTTGTATACTCAGATATCATAACATCATTAAGTACTATTTTTATGCACTATGGCTCCAACTGCAGATGATATAATAAGATCATTTCTACAGGCTATTTCTACACTTACATTCAGATATGAAAATAACACAAGATGAACATTTATTTCACACATTGCTATTTGATAGAGAAAATTGTCACAATGTTAACACGAGAGAAGCAGAATGCCCAAATAAACGTTTTACAGCATCGTAGAGCCATTCTTGTAAATGTAGACGATGTACTAAAGGTGGAAGAGTGGCAATCCATATGTATAGTGTTTCAACATATATGTAGAAAATAGCAAGCAGAAAAGATGCATGTAAAACTCTTTTCAACATTACAAATGTACATTAGCAATTTCACTGAAATCGTAATTATATTCTAAAAAAACACTTTATGTAAACCGTTCCATAATATATGTATTCTGATAGCTTCAAGGTTTTTCGCGAACATTTAGGGCCGATAGTCCACTAGTCACCGAAACATCACATAGCAACACTTATTGGCTGTGTAACAATAACTTTACATAATCCATATTTTGTGGTGTTTAGTAGCGTTCCATTTGTAATTATGGTATATCTTATTAACCAGTTATACATTTACATATAAATCATTGTTAAGTTTGCTTTACTTTTATGATACCAACCTTTTTTGTACATAAATATGTTTTTCTATCATTTACTTAAACACTATATGTAGCAGATGCTGCATTTAGCATATGATAAGTATATATGTTACATAATGGCGAAAGGTATTTTACGGGAGGATTTTTTTTAATTTTTTTTTAAGTATTAACCTAAAACCTTGGTTAGCTATATATGACTATCTGAATAGCAAACCAAGGTTTTAGGTGAATGCAAAAACCCTATTTTAGCTTTGCTTAAACTCCTCCCGTAAAATACCTTTCGCCATAATGTAACATATATACTAACCTTTTTTTGTACATAAATATGTTTTACTATCATTTCCTTAAACGCTATATGTAGCATTTCCTTAAACGCTATATGTAGCAGTGTGCCGTTATAGAGGGTTTTGTATGCATCTTTCCCTTTTCGTTGTGTTTAGTAACATTTTTGACCTGGATTATCAGTCGTTTGACCTTTAGTAACACCGATAAATCATTAATGGATGAAATGACCATACAATGCAGTGAAAATGTTTCCTTTAATACGCTTTCTGCATGGACAAACTGACGTTTTAAGTAGGTGCTTTTTACATCGTTTTTCTAGGGATCTTTTTACATCATAAGGTCGTTTACACTACTAGTAAGGTATGTACTCTGCCACATTCATCGGACAAATGTAAAATGTGTACGAGTTGTCCACCTTTGTGCGCATACGCTTCACTAGTCATTTGTGCTATTGTTAAGGAAATCATGATCAGTTTGATGAATATGGCACAAAGACGACTAGACAACGGTTAAATGATAGTGAAATGAATAGGGGCATCGTAATGCTGCAAGCTAGCATGTCACAACGTCAGGTCAGCAGACCTTGGAGTGTCTCAAAGTGTGGTGGCAAGAATGTGGAATCGTTTTAAAACTAAGGGAAACCCTTCCAGACGTCATGCTGGAGGTCGTTCTAGGGCTACAACGCAGCGCCAAGACCGATTTCTGCTCATACAGGCACGGCGTCACAGGTTCCAGACTGCCACAGTTTTACGAAATGACCTCCTAAATGCTTCTGGTATCTGGGTAGCCACTCAGACAGTAAGAAATCCTCTTCATAATGCTGGTTTAAGGTCACTTACGAGTCACTCACTTACGGTCCCTTAACTGCCCGCCATGAATTAGGGACCGATTAGATTGGGCCCAAGCCCAAGCTCACAGCACTTGCACTCTTCGAATTCAGGAATGGAAACTATCAGATCTGCGCTATCACAAGGAGGTAAATCCACCAATATACCCTGCCTGCGGCACACATACACACGTGCCCGAATACACTAGAAATCGAGGCACGTCCTTTAATGACCTTAGCTGTTGCTATGACGTTAAACCCTCTTCAACAAACCAACATTTTGTTATTCGTCATTGATGCTTAATAATGGAAATCAACAAATTGTATGTGATGCTGATCAACTCCGTTATACAACCGTTGCGTGAATCAATATCTGATAGTGGTAAAATATATAACATATTCAGACTACCCGGCAGTCTCACAGTTGATCCTCGATCTGTTGTTAAAGGGCCCGGGGTTACCAGTACGTACCAGGACTACCAACACTGTGACGGTTTGAACGGAGTGTTGAGTGAGGCTTTGGTCTTTGTCACATGCTTCAATGCTGCTTGTGGGTTTTACGGCTACATAAAAGGTGGGGTCAACATTTGGCCTCCACTTTGATTTCTTTTATTCTTTTGCCATATGTAGATACATAAAACTACTGATAACCGTAGTGGACCTCCTTGCAGAACACCAGGTTGAGTGACGGAGGTATCCTAACAAAATGACAGATACATGTCATAGGGGGGTGATATTTTGAAAATGAATTATGATAGTGTACAGTGTATAAAATTACTGTTATTTTAATACTAAATATGTAATATTGGTATACATGAAGTAAGCGTAGTAAGTAGTGATACTTTTAATTAGAAAAACATGCAAAATGGTCACAGATTTAAAATACAAGAGGCCCAGAGGGCCTGTACCGGTCATCTGGATACCTAAGCAATCATGGCAAAATATTTTCCGAATGAGATCAAGGGAATATGCCAGACCCCAAGGCCAATCCTTGGAGCATATCTGTATTAGATTTTTCATGCCCAGCAATTTTATTATGGTTATGGGGTGAGATCTCAACTGTTTCGAAGCTTTGACTCAGAAACTAGGTCCCTAGGGTTATGGCCAGACCCCAGGATCAATTCTAATATTGTGACTGCATTTGTCTCTTTTTGCCCAGCATTTGTACTAATAGTTTTGAAGTCGGGATCTCAACCATTTCAAAGTTATGACCCAAGGTTTAAGTCTGCAAGGGTGGGGCAGACCATGGGGTCAATTCTAATAGCATGACTGCATTCGTCTTTTTATGCCCAACAACTGTATATATAGTTTTGGGGTGGGGATCTAAACCATTTCGAAGTTATGACCTAGGGGTTAAGTCTCCAAGGGTGGGGCAGTCCCCAAGGCCGTCCTGGAAGCATATGTGCAATCATCTCTTTATACTCAGCAATTGTATATACCGTTATAGGGTGGGGCTTTCAACTGTTTCCAAGCTGTGACTAACAAACTTGTTCCCCAGGGTCGTGGCCAGACCCCAGGATCAATTCTAATATCGTGACTGCATTTGTCTCTTTTTGCCCAGCATTTGTACTAATAGTTTTGGGGTGGGGATCTCAACCATTTCAAAGTTATGACCAAGGGGTTAAGTCTGCAAGGGTGGGGCAGACCCTGGGGTCAATTCTAATAGCATGACTGCATTCGTCTTTTTATGCCCAACAACTGTATATATAGTTTTGGGGTGGGGATCTAAACCATTTCGAAGTTATGACCTAGGGGTTAAGTCTCCAAGGGTGGGGCAGTCCCCAAGGCCGTCCTGGAAGCATATGTGCAATCATCTCTTTATACTCAGCAATTGTATATACCGTTATAGGGTGGGGCTTTCAACTGTTTCCAAGCTGTGACTAACAAACTAGGTCCCTAGGGGTTCAGTCAGACCCCAAGGTCTATTCTGATATCATGACTGCCTTCGTCTTTTTATGCCCAGCATTTGTATATATAGTTTTGGGGTGGGGATCTCAACAGTTTTAAAGTTATGGCCCAGGGACTATGTCTCCGAGGGTGGGGCCAGACCCTATAGCAATCCTGGAAGGAAATGTGCATTCTTCTCTTTATGCTCAGCAATTGTATACCATAGTTATATGGTGGGGATCTCAACCATTTCCAAGTAACACACTTTTTTTGGCCCCACTCCTTAGCCCGGGGGGTCAGCCCCACCATTTGTACAATTTTGAATTCTACCACCTAGGGATGCTTCCAGTCAAATATGGTTGATATCGACTTCTTAGTTCCAGAAAAGTCGCTTAAAGCAATATAGCCAAATTGACTCCTTTTGACCCCGCCCCTCAGCCCCCTGGGGAGTCAGCCCCAAAATTTGTACAATTTTGAATCTCCACCACCTAGGGATGCTTCCAGTCAAATATGGTTGATATCCATCTCTCAGTTCCAGAGAAGAAGTCG